GAAGCGTTAAAAGATGGAACAATTGCAAAAATGATACTTTTGGTGTGTACATTTACAAAAATATTACTATGGGTTGTCCATTTGCAAAACTACTACTAATTAAAGATTTTTAGTGCCTAAATCTTAAAATTCTAAACCCTAAAAAAATATGTTGACGTCTAAAAACTCCTAAATCCTCAAAACTAAACACTAATACAACATAATTAACCCAAACATAAATGATATAATGAATAAATAATTTTATAAAACGACATTTTTTGCAAAATTTTTGAAAAGATAGTATTTTTAAAAAGTAGCATTTCTCAAAACTTCTCTTGAATGAAAGAGTGACATAACTTATTTTATGAAATGTTATATTCAGGCAAGAGTCGGGATGAGGGATAGAGGGTTACGTTAATCCTAGGTGCTCCAGTATAACCATCTACTTTTGTTATCGGTTATGGCATCTGGTTGACATGCGAATTCCAAAATGTATAGGTGTGAATAGGTTATTTGTAAGTCTATGATCGCCAAATTATATTCTCGAGAGCACTCAGTTAGTTGTGCTGAATTATATTGTAATTTGTTCCTAACCAGTAAAAAAAATATAAGATTAATATCGATAAAAAATTAAATGAGAATATGTGTCAACTCTTGAGGGTGTCTTGTTCCTTAGAAATATTTTTAAGCCCTTAATAATTAACAAGAGTGAAAGTTACCTCCTAATCAAGAATTTTGATGATAGTCGAGATAGGCGAGCTAGACTTGTTGAGACTTTTTTTCGTACAGGTTCACATGGTGAGGAACTAACATTCAATATAAGCAGACTGATCGTGAGCCTATTTATGCAATTGTTTATGTTTTTGTAAGGTCGGATCCTAACATCATTTGGCAATCCAAAATGCTATAAAAGTAAATTAACTGCATGATGTCAAATGATTCTTCTAAATTAACGTAGCACTAAATCAAACATAGAACTGATAATTTTAGACTAAATTTTAGCTTATTTTTTATTTATAACACACTAAATTTTTTAAACCGCGTCAAACACAAGATTAGAATATATTTG